CCTTTTTTGTTTGTTTGTTTTGTTTTGTTTTGAGCCCCTCTCAATCTCCCGCTTCCCATTGTGCCTCGGGCTCTCCGTCCAATGAGACAAGCACCTGGGCCAGATGCCCCTTGTCCTCACCTCCCCACTCCCCTTGCTCACCCCCCCAACCCCACACTTCTTACGTAATCTCCTTCTCCTCCAGAATGAGCATATTCTCTGACAGCAGCTCGCAGGCGAAGCCCACGTTAACAGCGGTCTCTGCGAACCAGAACCAGACCTGCTCAGCGCCTCTGCGACCCGCCCTGCACTGACGGCCTGGGGGCCACGCCCACTCTACCCGGTGGACCCTGGCCCGACCAGTGGCTGCCGCATGCCCCACCCCCTGGCCATGGTGATTGGTTCAGAGAAGGGCTTGTAATCCAGGCTCGCCAATGAGAGCCAGCCCTGAGATTTTGACTGCAGTTCTGGCTGGAACTGGGCTGCCCAGAGACGTGTCTGAGGCCAGAATCATCAGGCACATGTGCCTAGGATCCACGGTGCCTTCAGGAACCCACAAAATGTCTTAATACCTTTTTTTTTTTTTTTTTTTTTGAGACAGAATCTCGCTCAGTCGCCCAGGCTGGAGTGCAGTGGCGCGAACTGCAAGCTCTGCCTCCCGGGTTCACGCCATTCTCCTGCCTCAGCCTCCTGAGTAGCTGGGACTACAGGCACCGGCCACTATGCCCGGCTAATTTTTTTTGTATTTTTAGTAGAGACGGGGTTTCACCGTGTTGGCCAGGATGGTCTCGATCTCCTGACCTCGTGATCCACCCCTCTCGGCCTCCCAAAATGCTGGGATTACAGGCGTGAGCCACCGCGCCCGACCTTAATATCTTTTTAAATCAGAAGGGAAATAATTGAATATTTTTCCCTGGGCTGACTCCTGGCCAACAGAGGGCACCCTGAAAATCATTTTTTTTGACAAGGGCTCACTCTGTCACCCAGGCTGGAGGGCAGTGGCGCGATCATGGCTCACTGCAGCCTCAACCTCCTGGGCACAAGCGAGCCTCCTGCCTCAGCCTCTGGAGAAACTGAGACCACAGGCATGCGCCACCGCGCCCCTCTGAGAGTTGCAGCCTTTTTTGTTTGTTTGTTTTGTTTTGTTTTGTTTTGTTTTGAGACAGTCTCACTCTGTCTCCCAGGCTGGAGTGCAGTGGCACGACCTTGGTTCACTGCAACCTCCGCCTCCCAGGTTCAAGCGATTCTCTTGCCTCAGCCTCCTGGGTAGCTGAGATGACCAACGCACACCACCACACCCGGCCAGGCCCATTTTTGTATTTTGAGTAGAGATGGGGTTTGACCATGTTGGCTCTGCTGGTCTCAAACTTCTGACCTCAAGTGATCTACCCGCCTCAGCCTCCCAAAGTGCTGGGATGACAGGCGTGAGCCTTCAAACTTCGGGGAAATTTGAAGATCCATGCGGCGGGGGCTCAGCCACCTGGAGCCGCCCAGGACTCACCCTGCTTGTCCCCAGTGAGCACCCATATTTTGATGTTGCTCTTCTTGAGACATTTGATGGTTTCAGGAACGCCGTCCTGAAGTCTGTCCTCGATGGCTGTGGCTCCCAGCAGCTGGTGGGGGAGGAGGGCAGGACGGGGAAAATGCTGAGCAGCCGCCCAGCTCCCTGGCAGGGGCAGGAGAGTCCCAGGGCCCCCTTGGAAGCCCTGCTGCCCACCCACCTTGAGGTTCTGCTCCAACTCGTTGTACACCTGTTGCAGGGCCTGCGCCCGGTTCTGCAGCAGGAGGCTGGCCTCCTGGTGGCGCTGCCGCCAGTCCTCGTAAATGTCCTCAGCCACCTCCCTGTAGGCCAGGCACAGTGTCCGCAGGGTCTCCTGGGCAAAGGCCTGGGGGCCGGGCAGGTGGAAGCTGTCACCATCCTGAAGCCGACATCTGAGTCTCAGCCCTCCCCAACCCCCCGCTGGGCTTCGGAGCCTGGGCCCCCCAACCAAAAGCGTGTTGCCTCCCCTGCCAACAGCAGCCTTGAAGGGGCTCAGAAAACTGGTCTGAGTCCGGGCGTGGTGGCTCACACCTGTTATCCCAGCACTTTGGGATGCTGAAGCAGGCGGATTATTGGAGGCCAGGAGTTCCAGACCAAGTTGGCCAACATGGTGAAACCCTGTCTCTACTAAAAATACAAAGATTAGCCAGGCGTGGTGGTAAGCGCCTGTAGTCCCAGCTACTTGAGAGGCTGAGGCAGGAGAATTGCTTGAACCCAGGAGGCGGAGGTTGCAGTGAGCTGAGATCACACCACTGCACTCCAGCCTGGGCGACAGAGCAAGACTGTGTCTCAAAAAAAAGAAAAGAAAAGAAAAGAAAAAGACACTGTCTCTGTGGGGGGACACTTTGGAGTTCAGCTGCCTTCCAACCTGCGTATGTGTGTTGTGTGTTGCCAGGGGAGGGTGTTTTGTACAGTGCACAACCTACCCAACTGTACATAGCCATCCCAGGTACCCGCAGCCATTCATTTCTCTGTACAGTCTCCTCCCCTGCCTCCTCCTCCTGTCCCTACACACACACACACACACACACACACACACACACACACCCACCCACACACACACCCCCACCCACCCCAGCCTTCCTCCCTGCAGGGACTCACAGCCAAGGCCGCCTCTGTGGCAAATTCCGTTGCCCCTCTCCTGTGCAAGCGTTGGAAGATGACCGTGTCAGCGCCCTTGGTGTACAGGCAGATGGTGCCCTCTGGCTTTCGGACTGTGGGGGAACAGGCCCTGCTGCCCACAGAGGCTCCCTGTCTGCCCACCCGCCTGGTGGGGGGGCCCAGGGCTTGGGCGGGGGGCTTACCCAGCACCGACATCCGTTTGCGCATGCTGTTGAAGTCCATTATGGCCAGGACCTGGTAGACCCGCTCCTCCCCCAGCTCCACGATGGTGATGGTGTCCTGGGTGCGGGACAGGAACACGTAGCCGAAGTTCCGGGCCGCGGTGACCAGCGCCCCCTCGTCGGGGGAGGCCGCCTGGTACAACAGCTGGTCTGGGGGGGAGGGGGCCGTTTTGGGGTCACGTGGTGGAGCCCATCTCCATTTCCACGGTGCAGGGAGGAGATGGGCACCGCCTGGGCTACACCGTTATTGATTGTGGCGGGGGATCCCCGCCTGGACAACCTCTCAGCCCAATGCACGGAGGGGAGCACTTGAGTCTAGACGACCTTCCTGCTCAACAACACATCCTGGGGCTCCAACCGCAGGTCTGGGCATCGTTTATTGAGCCGTGAGGATGACACATCCGCCCTCCCGCCACGGTACTGGGCAACACGTCTGGGCTCCAGGCCCGGACACCCTCGAGGTGGGGCTGGGGTCACCGGCCTCAGCGCCCCCTAAGCCAGGTGAAGGGGGCCCTGGAAGATGGGCTGGGTGAGCGGTGGGGCTGGGGACACTGCCGAGCCCCGGGGGCCGAGCGGCCTCGGAGGTGGGGGGGAGGCGGGTGGGCGCGCCCGGGGCACTCACGGCGGCTCTCCCGCACCATCACAGTGTGGCAGATGGCCAGCAGGCGCCAGAACTCGCGCACCGCCGCGTCCCTGTTGCTCCGCACGAGGTTCAGCAGGGCCGCGTTGTGGAAAAGCAGCTTCCCGTCGGCGAACTTGTTCCAGAGGTAGGGGTTCTCCTGGGGGCGGCGGGGCGCGGCGGGCTGTGGGCGGGCCACTCCCTGTGCCCCATCCCCCTCACCGTCCCGCGCTGCAGGGCGCGCAGGCTCACCTTGGGTCGGGTCCTGGCCTCCGAATCTGGCCCTGGGGAAAGACATGGCTTCAGGCCCCGGCTCCCACAGGCCCCCCATCCGGGATCCCACAGCCCCTGCCGCCTAGTCTCAGGCTTCTGGGGGCCACCGGATGCAGCCACCCGAGCCAGGCCTGCGGTCCTGGAACCGACGCCCCGAGCAATCTTGGGGCGAAAGCTGACCTCGGTTTCCACCATCTGCAGAAAGCAGGAAGAGGGGAGCACGCCCATCCTGTCTCGCAGGGATCCCTAAAGGACGGCCTGTTCTATAGGTGAACTTGAACCATTATTTGGGGACTTTCTCACTGACACTAAAATTATGACCCAGTTCAACACCATGTTGCCCTGGTTATTTAATTAGGACCCGGGGGTTCAAAACTACACCCCACCACACATCAGTTTTTGTTACAGCTGCGGCTAAGAATTGCTTTTGGTTTTTAAATGTCAGACAAAAATGGCAAGAACAATCATTATTTTGTGTGCCGGGGTGCGGGTGGCTCCGGCTATTAATTCCCAGAACTTTGGGAGGCCGAGGGTGTGGCAGATCACAAGGTCGTGAGATTGAGGACCATCCTTGGTAACACAGTGAAATCCCGTCTCTACTGAAATACAAAAAAATTAGCTTGGGCGTGGTGGGGCGTGAGCTGGGAGGTGGGTCAGAATGGGTGACCAGGAGGCGGAGTTGGCAGTGGGAGATCACACCCATTGCAACTCCAGCCTGGGCAGAGACGCCGTTTCAAAAATAAA